TAAATTAATGCAGAAAAATAAAAACAAAATTTGAATAATAACTTAAATCCTATCATCCAAGGTAATTTCCCTCAGTGCTTTATAAACATTACTTTACATATCTTAATGTGTATCTATAACCAGAGAGCACAATACAAAACAAAAAACCATATTACAGCCATTTTAATTAAAAGTACTAAGTTCAATTAATTTTAGGCTGAGTAATAAAGAACAGTGGATAAAACCAAAAACTAAGCTGCTCAACATTGCCACAGATACATTCATAGTTAAAAGTCTCACATGTTTATAATTTGAAAAAATGTTCATTTCAACTTTGGACAGTATAAAGGATGGGGAAATAATTAAAGTCTCCCCTACCTCCACATTTTTGCAAGTTATATTATCTTTTTAAACAGGTTATAACATTTATATTGTGTTTTCAATCATCATCTCCATAGTTTCTTTCAATGAAACTGTGTTCCCCAACAAACTTTTCGTTTTTTTTACATAGCTGCTTCTGTTGTGAAGTCTTAGTGGATTTATATCATAGAGGTTTGCATTTCCCTCTGATGGATTTTTATTTCTTTGCCTTAAATTTTAATCTTTAAAGCCATTTTCTGAGTTCTTTCAGAATTGTGTCTTGGTAATTTCTTTCAGTAACAAAGAACTCTTGTTTTGAACTCTCTATTTCTTATAACATAAACCCTTTATCTGCCTTTGTATGTTCTTCTTCCCTCTGAACGAGTGTATGTCTGTATGTGTATAGATTAAGGTATCAATTCTGTGTGGGTTCCCTTCTGGAAAATATGAGTACAAGCCAGCAGACTACCTAGCAGGTGCTCCAAAGGCCACCTTTGCTTTTGGTGGTCTTTGAACTCCCTTTGGTCAAAATAATGATTTTCCTGACTGGACACATTCATCATGATTTTCATCATGAGGTCAACCTAGTGTGATTTTACATAGCATAGATTCTCTTTGTGAAAGTTTGGCAATTGTTGCATCTCCCCTAGTTTTTACCATCAATTATTTTACAATCTCTTGTGTCCAGGAATTGAACAATAAAATAGCTATGCTTTTTTTTTTTTTTTGGTCTTTGGAGATGGTAGGGGATGAGTTACTAGCTTTAATGAGCTAAGACAATCAGGTATAATTGGATTGTTCTTAAGCCTATTCAGAATAAGTGTGTAAGGATAATTAAAATGGAATAAAACAGAATTAGACATCCCATGAAGCAACAGATTTAGCAGTAAATTCATCTACTCTGCCTGTGTTCCAAAATTATAAACCATACTTTAGCCTCAGTGGACATCTTTGAAATAGATCTTTTGACTTTGTCATAAAAGACTCTATATCTTCTATTTTCTATGATATTTTGAAAGATTTGAACCACATTAAGTGGTAGTCAATAGCTTAAGATCTACTCACATTGCTACTAACATGTCTTCAAAGTTTTAAAACTTTCTGCTTTCCTTAAAACTCCCTCCCAGTTAGATTCATTCTTGGTAAATGACCCAAACACCTTCCTAAAGAAAATGTAACCAATTCCTTGACTTACTGTTTTTCAGTATTTTTGTCTCTGGGTTATACTTTGTCTTTACTCCTAAGAAAATAAGCTTCTTCTTAATTCTTACCTCTCTGGGCCTACTTTATTTTTGTGAAATACTTTAATAAAGTTAAAGAAAAATGTAGATGCTAATAAAGCACTTATGCACTTACCATCGCTTTGACTTAACATATTTTGCCTCATCAAATTTGCTTTGCATCTAAAAAGAAAAAATCAGTACAACTTTTGTAACCTTTTATATTTATGAATGAGATTGGCCAATAGATTTTCTCTTTAATACAGTACTTGTTTTAGAGTAACAATTAGATTAACTTTATAAGGTGAGTTAAATAGCTTGTTTTCTTTACCTGTTGTCTGGCATTATTTTTCCTACTCTATACCTTTAAAGACAATTGAACTACATTTTTGAGTTCTCATTTGGAGTCCTAATATTTTGTAACTCTCATTAGAAATATTTTTTTGACATGTAAAACTCTTAGAAATGTGCTTTTGAATGTATAGGAATATGGTGGGTATGGATGCTTCTAAGTTCTTCCATCTTATTAATACCTAACTTTATTTCTTTGCAGACAGAGAGATGAGGTTTTATGTTGGTCATCAACATTTGTTGAAGCTCACTGGTCATTTTTTCCCTTCCTATTTATTCTTTAGGTGCTGATGGAAAAGTTTGCCTTCTCTCATGGATCACTGGAGTGCTTTATGCTATATTCAGTGGTTCAGGATTTATCATTGAGTTGTTATAGTGCGCTTTATTATTAAGACATCTCACTTTTTTGTCTGATATCTCTGTTTTTGACAAGTATATTAAGATAACATTTTGAAATGCCTATTTCTCTTTAAATTTCTCAATTTAAAATTTTGAATGTAATTAATGCTATTTAAATAGATGTAGGTTTAAAGTCATTCTGTTTTTTCAGTGAATTATACTTTACAACGAAGGAATTGCCTTTCTCATCCTCAGTAACGTTTTTAACCTTTAGTTTGTGTTATGTCAGTACTATAGCATTGCCTTTTTGTGTGTAATCATGGCCTCTCCTTAGTTTATCTTCTCACTTTCATCATCCTATAAGTTTATCTCATGTAAGCATCATATAGCTGAATTCTGCACTTTTTAATCTTTTAAAATCTAATGTGAAAAATGCATTTGTATTGCCTTTGTGGCAATTAATTTTCTTATTTTCTTTAAGCCTTCTCCATTTAGTGAGTTTTCCTTTCATGCATATGTTTGGGAGTTATAATTATTTCTTGTTTCTTCCAATAGCCACCTGTAGGGTTTTAACAAATTAAAGAGTTAGTGTTTACCTCTCTTGTTCCTATACAATCTTGCATACAGTTGCTTTCTTTCTTTCTTTTTTTCCTTTGTTTACTTCCAATTTGTATTATCTTTGTTAGTTATTAGTATTTTCAGTTAGTGTTTACTAAGATTTACTCATACTTACTAGTATTTAGTCTAGCATGGCCACATATTCCTTAATTGTCGTAATTTCTTTGTTGGGAACATCTATTAGTAGTTATTTCATCAAGATTCTCAAGGGGTAGAATTTCCATTTGATACTGAAAATGTTCTTTAATTATTATTATTATTACATTTTAAAAGAGACTTTGTTATTAATGGAACCCTATGTTGAATTATTTTTGCTTGGTCTTGTGAAATTATGCCACTGTTATCTGTTATTTATTGATGATAAACTTTCTTTGCTATCATTCCATTATAAATAATGTATTTTGTTCAAATTTGCTTTTAGATTTTCAAAAATGATTTTAATATTTTCTCATGTGAATACATTGGATAGAGAAACGATAAATATTCCTTGAAATCTGATATGTTGCTTTATCTGTGGACTCTTTTTTCAATTCTGAAAAACCCTTTAGCCCATCAGATGACTAAAATAGGATCATTTATTAGCACTTAAATACTGCCTCTCCCCCATCCTGATTTTTTTCTGACACTCTTATATATATGTGCATTCTGCTTTGTGTATTTCCTGTATTTTCCTTCTCTATCCTGCTTTTGACTCATTATTTTTATGCTGCTTTCTAGATATTTCATCAGCTCTCTATTTTTTAAAATGATTTTTCCTTTGCTTTGTCCACTGGTTTAAAAAAAGAAACAAATTCTCATTTTTCAAGTTCATCCATTTTAAATGTGCCTTAATAAAAAAATCTTAGTGCCATCCCTTTTTATAATGAATTGTATGCCTTTTTTTGTCTTGATAGTATATATACACAGTGGAATACTACTCAGCTATATAAAACAGATAAGCTGTTGCCATTTGTGACAACAGGGGTCAAATTGGAATGGCTATGATGTTAATCAGTATGAGTTAAAGGAAAAAGACAAATACCAGCTGTTTTCATTTATATGCAGAATTTAGAAGCAAGTCAAAGAGTCAGAAAAAACTATACCAATAATAGGCCTAGAAATCTGACTGAAGAATTGAAGCTGATAGAGGGTTGAGGGAGGGTGGGGAGTAAAGTGTGAAGGGTGCCCACTGACTCTATGGTAGAGGAATATGAGTGTGGGTGTGGTTGTGATCTCTGAAGGGGTGTTATCCTAAACCTCTGAATCTTAAGTAGTTTTGTATACCAATGTTACCTCAATTAAAATAAAACAATAAAGTTGGCTTCTTTTTACTCAAAGGTCAGATGATAAATCCTATAGATTCTTCAGATCATAAAATTTCTCACAGCTGTTCAGCTCAGCATTGTAGTACAAGGCAGACCTAGACACTTGTAAACAATTGAACCTAACTATGATCTAGTAAAACTTTGTTTACCAGAACAGTCATTATCCTGGGTTATAGGTCATGGACCATAATTTGCAGTCCTTTGATTTAAAACATACTTTATTCAATGATACTTGATTCTCTTTAACTCAAGTAACTGAGGGTGGTAACTCCCTTGTTTCATGCTTTAGCTGATATTTTCATATAAAGGGTTGCGTTGTAAATTATTACCTTTAAAATACTCAGTTTAGGAATATTCTGAAATAATCCAGCACTTAGTGTTGTGTCTGACATGGAAATACAGGCATCATTCAGAGTATTCTGAATTATTAAAATTAATGAAAATTAACTATCCTGTTACTGTTATCATAGAATAGAATCTATCCTAATTCCTAGGTCTTAATAGAATCTACAAAAATTGCATCACTAACATTTCTGTTTGTAACATTTATGAAAAGTCTAATTAATAAGATTATGATTAAAGCACTTTTTTTTTTTTTTACCTGTACCCACTATATACTTTGAGTTCAAAATAAAGCCTGTACTGAGTGAAGCATGCTTTGCGAAAATTAAAGACTATCAAAGCAAGACAGAAACACAAAGAAACTTTGGGAAGAGTTCTGAAATACAGTTTTAAAGAGAATAGAATTAAAGATTGTTGTGTGATGTTTTTTATACATACACAATTTTCTTACTGAGGTAAATTCATGCTTCTCAATTCTTTATTATAGGACACTTGAAATGGACCAAAGCTGAGGACATTGACATAGAAACTCCAGGATCTATTCTTGTCAACACTAACTTGAGGGCATTAATAAATAAACATACATTTGCTTCCTTACCTCAGCATTTTCAACAATACCTCCTGCTTTTACTCCCAGAAGTGGATAGGCAGGTAAGTAGCAGCTTTAGACATTTAATATTAGTCACCGGTTACATTATTATTAATAGCACTGAGATGACTGATACATGGATGGATTGTTTTAAAATAGTATGTTTGTGTAGTTTCTGTACTGTTTTTGCTAGCATTTGTATATTTGTTTAATCTGCTCAACACAAACCCATTTTTTATTGGTAGTGAGCCAATTCAAATTTTAAAGTTCTGCACATTGCCGTAGAATGCAAACAACAGACCTACCTAAACTGGAAAGGGAAAACAAAGACATCATACATTCCATTATCAAATAAATCTTTGAAGGAGCTGCTCCTTTGCCCAGAGGGAATATTGAAGTGCTGCAATAAAAAGCCAGGGTTTCTAAGAAATTATGTAAATGTTTTTATTCTCAACTCTTTCTAAAAAGCACCTAAAATTTATGTTTGCAGTTGCCTTTTGAGAGTCTATCATCATGAATATGATTGCCTATAAATAATCACCTTTTATCTTCTTTAATATAACTAGAAATGCTGTAAGTGTATTTTTGTATTTTGAAAAGCTTCTAAAATAAGGACATACAAATATAGCATCATAATAGCTGACATCAATCATCTTCTAAAGTAATATTCTTACAAAAGAAAAGGAAAAAAATACTTCATCACATAAACTTTTATTAAATTCCATAAAAAATATTAAGTGATAAGTAGGAAACATTTCTCATGAGTCATATTTCAGTACACTTTGACACTGTATATAATTTTTGGTTGATGGACAATATGTGTGCTTGAATATTTATTTCAAAATAATAGGTACATACATAAGATTGATTCAAAATAATAGGTACATACATAAGATTGATATTACTGCATTTCCTTGAATAAATTTTCTTAGTTATCTACTTGATTCCACTTTCTTCTGTTTCCTGTCATGCCTACTTAAATAAGATGGGCTACTGTTTGCTGCCATTCTTATGTTCTCTCTTTAATAGAGATTATTTGTTTATATTTAGAATAGTATTTTGACCTCAGGTACACTTTTATTTGTGATGTTGTCTTTGTTTCACAGAAAAATATTTAATATTTCCTGTGTTTTTTTTTTTGGATATGTTTTAATACATCTCTGGAAAAATAATAAATGCCAGTTAAATGTTTATTGAATCAGTTATAACATCCTAATTAGACACTTAAACCTTGTTTGTGAATAACAAAAATATACAGAGAAACAAGTAGGCTTAAATGGGAAAAACACTAAAAAAGGCATATGGAGCTTTCATATACATAAAGGAAAAATCAGAGGTAAAATTAAGATTCTTGAATTGGGCCTTGAGATATGTGAGAATTTGAATAAAATAGATGGAAAGTACCAAATGGAAGGTTCAATGATAAAAATCAAAAAGAAATTTTTTAGGAGTCTGGACTATATGAAAAACAGTACAATAGATTCCTTGAACATTAGGCTAAAGAATCTGAACACTGTTCTTCCTGTGTTTGCAGTGCAAACCCATGAGGGCTTTTGAGCAGAGCTATAATGTAATAAGATCAGTCCTTTTCAAGAAAATGCTTCTGGCAGTACTAAAAAGGAATGTTAGGGGTGGGAAACATGAAAGTAAGGAAGAGAAGTTAGAGTTCAATTTTAGTTGTTCCAAAAAGACAAAATGAGGGCTTGAATTTAAAGACTAGTGTGAAAATTAAAGAACAGGATAATGTAGATATCACCATCATCTTCCTCCTCCTCTGCCAGTGGTAGCAACTACATTTTGTCAGATAAAACTTAAAGATAGGGAGAAGACTGAGTCTCAGGTATTAAGCTTGTGTTACTGAGAGTAGAGGGCAAGCGTTAAGAAAAACTTTATCTTAGGGAGCACTGCTGTTAGCAGTGCAACTATTTCTTCCACTTCAATATCTGTGTGATTCATCTTGTTTGCACTTTTATCCCTAGCTCCTGGAATAAGACTTGACATGTTTAAGGTGCTCCAATCTTTTTGGAATGAAGAAGTGTCAAATTTTCCTGGGTTTAGCCAAGTATTTCTGTAAACCAGAAGACCAGTTGAAGTCTAATATGTTATTCAACCTTTAACAGTTTCTGTTACTTAGTATTTCTAGTGTTTATGAGAAATACAAATGAATGAGGCACAATACCTGCCTTCCACCAAAAACAGTCCACCGGGAATATATTTATTCAAGAAATCTTTACTGAGCACATATGTGTGGAATATATTTAACTTTACTAAATATAGAGGATACAAGAATGAATCTTGTATCTTGTGCAACAGCTAGAGGAGAAAGGCTCATGCTGAAATACAGGACATTGCTCATTACTAGTAAAAAATACAATAAGTGAATAGATCCATACCACAGTTATTAAGACTAGGCAGAATAATAAATGTCAAAATATAAGTATAAAGAAAACTCTTTGACAATTCAGAGGATAGAGACTTCATCTGAAATTGTTATTGGAGAAGATTTATGGTAGAACGACGATTTAAGTTGAGCTAGATGGACTAGCAGGGATTTTGTAAATAGGGCAAGACAATGAATTTTGTAAAGGGAGAGCATGCCACTTACAAAGCTATATTTCAGGAGATGCGATAGTTCCTTATAACTGGATCATCATGCAGGGGGAGTTGGTGGGATGCTTTGCTGATGGCTCTCAGGTTTACAACCTTGAAGACCTGGTTTCAACTCTTTGATCTTTTTCTAAAACTGACAGTACTATCAGAGATTTTTCAAATGAAAAATGACACACATAGAATATTTAAATTAATATTTTAGTGCTTGGATAGGGGTGGGAGAGAGGATGCAGTTCTTATTTTCTCTTAGGATCCAGGAGAACCCTATGAGTGATGGATTAGACAGGCAGAAAGATCAGACAGGGAGACTGGATAAGAGACAATTGCAGTAGTTGAGGTATGCAACAAGACTTGACCTTGGACATTAGCCTTGGAAATAAAAAGAAAGGACTGAATTCCAGGCATATTTTCAATACAGATGAAGAGGCATTAATAACATACTGCTTATGGTATGGGTTTGTCAAAGGTGTAGAAGGTAAATGGAGATCTTATCTGGGGTAACTTGGGAGGACAGAAGGCTCTGTGAGCCTTTTAATAGTGGATACCAAGAAATGTGGAGCTCTCTGTTGCTGTGCCCTATTTTTTTTTTTTTTTTAATTCATATAAGGGCGGGGAAGAGGATAAAGCTTTGATCCAACAAGCCACTGAAACTGTTGATTTTTTCAGTCCAGTTTATAAATACCCAAAAGAGGATGAACACAACCATTTTCTAAGGAAAATGAATAGAAAACATCTGAAAGTGATTCTGATTACACCGTAATTAGTCGATCTCCAAGTACAATCAGTTAGTGAAGCCACAAACAGAATTTATTCTGTAACAACGCAGCATAGGAAACCAGCAGAGGGAATGTTCATGGGGACACCACAGATGGTACCTCCTCTTCTCTTTCCCACTGACATATAGAACCTCTGAAATGACCCTCAGAGTTCTTAATGGAAGAATGCTAGGTGTTAAGTGTTCTGTAGTCTTCTATCTGAGCATGCATGGATATCTCTAGTTCTTGCAACTTCATTTACTTAGCAATATGAATATTGAATTTTGACAACAGATTTATTTGGACAAGTGTTTCATTCATATCCATTTCATTTTTTAAAGTCTTGCTCTCATATTTTGTGAAATCCTGCTCTCATATATTCCTACAAATTTGAAGCTTCTGGCTTTTTCATGTCTTTGTTTGACTTCTCTAGAATCCTGCCCATTTTCTTCCCTGAAGCAACCTACAGGGCTTCTTACTCTGGACCATGGAAAACAAATGTTCATTGCATTTTTTTCATTTTTAAAACATGGTGTTCCGTTACTCATCTTACCAACTAAATTGTCATTAAGTCAGTCTATATGATATGTCTTTATATTTGTTTTTTTAGAGTCTTTTTAATCTTAGACTTTGTTTTTTAACATACTCCTGGATGTTTTATAATATTGTCACATTTACTTTTATGTTTTAGTTTTACTCTACTTCATTATACTGAAACAAAAAGTCAATCTCAAACTGACTTAAATATACAGGGGATTTATCAGCTCAGGTAATTAGAAAGTAAAGAGTAGGCTTCTGCTTACTGGTCCTAAGATTTATTAATCATCAAAGACAACTTGATTATTATTTAATATTTTTTAAAAATGTTGTTAAAAAACATCTCCTGTTGTTGGTGCTATTCAAAACCTTAATACCTCTTGGTGGAATGGTTATTTGAATCAAAAAATGGATGCTTTATGGTTTATATTCATGAAGAAAACACTTTAATGCCAGTATTTCTTTTTTTTTAACTTTTGACTTTTTAATATTTATTCATTTTAATTGAGGTGATATTATGACACCCCATTCAGGAATTACCACCATAGTGCACCCACCTCCAGCTAACCCGTGTTCCACCATCATAGATGATTCTGCTTCCTTCCCTCTTTGTTCTTATCACTCCTCACCCTTTGCCAGATAAAAAAGTGTGTTTTTATCTGACTCTTAGTTTAGTTACTTTATATTCCACATATTAGTGACACCATCTGGTATTTACCTTCCTCCTCCTGACTGACTTTTTTTCATCTAGCATCATCCCTTCAAGTTCCATTCATGTTGCTGCAAATGGTATGAGTTATATTTCTTGGCCCCTGAGTAGTATTATATTGTGTGTATGTACTACATCTTCTTCTGTTCTGTACATCCATTCATCTTTTCTCAGTCACTTATGTTGTTTCCATAATTTAGCAATAGTAAATTGCACTGCAATAAAAATGGGAATGCAAATTCCTTTCCAATTAGTGGTTTTCAGTATTGTCGGTAGATGTCTAGGAGTGGAGTTGTTTGGCTGAAACAAAGATCCGTTCTTAATATTTTGAGATGCCTCCATGTTGCTTTCCATAGGCTGGACCAGTTTGCATTCCCACCAACAGGTAGGAAGGTCCCATTTTCTCTGTCTCTTCACCAGCATTTGTTGCTTCTGGTCTTTTTGAAAGAGCTGTTCTCACATGTGTGAGATAGTATCTCATTGTGGGCCCAATTCACATTTCTCTGATAATGATTGTGAACATTTTTCTTGTGCCTTTTGGCTATTTGAATATTTTTGGAAAAATATCTACTTTGTTTGCCTATTGCTTTGATTGGGTTGTTTCGGTTTTGTAGAGCTTTATGTTTCAAAGAAAGGAGCAAGATACACACCCGATGGTACTATTTATATCACATGTGACCACTACTTAATAACACTAAACTAGGAAATTAGATCTGAAATTTGCTTTGAAGTCAACCAAGACTACTTATTTCTTGCAGCTTATAGTGCCCACTATCTCCTGAAATACTATGATTCACTGTGGTACAGGTCAAGGAAACATTGAAAATCTCATTTTCAGGAAGTTCTAGTAAAGGATATGCGGTGGTGGTGGTGGGGATGGAGGTTGCTTGGTAACAGTGCTCATTGAAGTAAATATAGGCATTGAATTTCATTTTCAACAATTTGGGTTGATGGCTTCTACTATATGAAATGTCTAGAAAGTGATAATATAGTCAGTTTTGAGACTTTAAAAAGATGAAGTTACATCTATATAACATATCATCAGCTGTGAGATTTAATAAGAGTTTGGTATATCATAGTCATCTTACAGAGTTCATATATTTGTGGAAAAGTATATATAGGTAAAAAAGAAAATGGGAGAAAGCCAGGGGATAAGCAGCAAATTTATGAAAGATCATTGATGTGGGTATTATATAGAGACAACAGTGTGAAATGAACATGAGGAGATGATTGGGAAATAAACATAATGTATTTGTTTAAATCTCTTTCCATTCATCCTTTATTTTTATTCACTCGGCTTTGCTGACCTGTGAAGGACCAGTGCATCAGAAGACACTATGCCTTATGTCTTAAAATTTTTTAAAATAATCATAAACTTTAAAAAAAAATTAAAGGTACATTAAGCAAATATCCAGATTGATCCAGTTTTCCTCCTCCACAGCCAACATATTATGTCTTAAGGTTGTATTTTCTATTAACAAAGACATGCTCTTACATAAGAAAAATACAACCAGTCAAGATCAGTAAGGTAACAGTGGTCCTGTGTTTCTTTGATGCTATTAAAGTGTAGCTAGTTGTCACAGTAATGTTTCTTTGAGCAACAAGACCCAGTATAGAAACTGTCACTGCATTTAGTTGTCCTGTCTCTTTAGTTTTTTTCATTCTGTATCAGTTCTTCAGCCCTGTTTTTACTTTCATAATTTTGACATTTGTGAAGATCATGTTCATTTGAGTTTTTTCTTTTTTTTTTTTTTTTTGGTGATGCTTCCTTGTTATTGCATTGTGATATAATATATATTGGAAAGAATATTATAAATGATGTATATCTTTTCCTTCCACCAAGTAGCACACAATTTTGATTTGTCCCAATAATGATGATATTAATTAACTCAATTATTTGATTAAAATATCTCCTGCAAGCTGCTGCAGTTTCTTTTTCATTCTTTGCAATTCAGTTATATTTTGTGAGGAATTTGTCCTAAATTATGTTAATATCTATCCCTCTTCAGATTTTCACCATCCATTTACTTATGCC